GATATCAGATTGGGAGGGAGAGGGTTGGAGGGGGTTTGAATGATTCAGATTTTTGGGGAGGGACATGTCAGCGGATGGGTCTAAAAAGGAAATGAGGTGAATCTTTAGAATTGATGAGGGGAAAAGGGGGGGAGTGGTGCCCCTGGAGTCGTGGAAACAAAAAAACTTTTTTCCTTGGAGGAAAAGGGGGGAATTTTATGAAGTAAGTTTTCCCAAAACACTTTTAAATGGTTTGGGGAAGGTTTGGGGATGAATGTTTGAAGCGGGGGAAAGGGGGCTGGGGGCAGGGAGATGTCATGTCGAGGGCAATGTGTGGTTTTAAATATAATGCAGAAAATTCGTTTTTTGGGAAGTTAGGGGAGGTGGGGTTTCCCCAAAACTTTTTGTCCGAGGGCTGGGAAGGGTTTGTTGGGGTGGTTCGGCCCATGTAGAAGAAGGGAGCGAAACAGAAGGGGATTTTCAAGAGGTATCAGCCCTGTAGGGGGGAAGGGGGGGTGGGGGTTTCGGCCTAGGAAAGGTTGGAGGGAGGGGGGAAAAAGGGAGATTTTTTTGGTTGCGGGGGGGCCTTGGACTTTTCCAGCGGCGTGCGGGGAGCGTTTTTTGAAGGAGGGGAATGGAGACGAAGGTTTTTTAATACTTGACGTGCTGTTGGAGTGTGAGCAAAGTAAAAATTTATGAAGGGGGTTTAGGGGGACCGGCAGGCCGGGCTTGAGTCCTGGGGGTTTGGGGAAATACGTGCCTGCACTTGAAAGGGGGGGTGGGTTTTTTAAAGTTCAGTTTAAAAAACTGTAGTGGGAAAGCACCCTTCTGGCAAGGACAGTGATGGATTTAAAGATGGGTGAAAGTTTTTTTTTTTTTTTTGGGCCACCCTGGGGCCCTTTGGGGGGAAATTTGGGCCAGTGTGATAATAAAAAATAATAACAAAAATAATATTAAAATACAGCAGCAAAAGTTAAAAAAAAAAAAAAAAAAAAATTCCAATTAGGCACAAATAATTTGGGCTGATTTATTTACAAAGGGAGAAATCATTTACAAAGCAAACAAAAAAATATTTTAATTATCACAAACTACACCAACAAATACATGTATTCAAATTTGCCTCAGTGATTTTTTGGTATACAGTCTTAATTTTATTAAGTAACTTAGTAAACAAAAAAAAAAAAATTTACACTTTGGGTTTAAAAAAAAATGGAGACCCCAATTTTAATTCCCAACCCTTAGGGGACCATAAAAAAGAATAAACCTGACAACCCCAAAATGAAATTTTTTTCCCCGAGTAAAAAGCACCAAACTCTCTTATTTTTTTTTACCAGTCTTTTTCAATCTAAAATTTTTATTAAATTTGGGTTGCAATTATCCAAGGTAACTTCCCCTTTAATTTTGTCAGTACAAGAGAGTTCTTATTCAGTAAGCCCCTGATTTCAATAAAAAAATTCAAAAGTTAACTTACTAAATCATGTTTGAAAAATAGAAAATGGAAATCATATATTCAAAAAAAGAAAAAAAATGAATTACCATTATATAAAAGGAAAGCAGGGCATCAAAACACAAGGGAAGTCATTTTATAAAACTAGTAGTTTTGTCCAAACTTTTCCCAAAAGATAAGACACACATAAAGCAAAGGGATGCCCCCTGTTATTTCTATAAAAAATTTTTCCCTTAACATAAAAATATCTCTGTCTGATTTTAAAATAATTTTAATTTTTAAACATTCTGGCCCTTTTTTATTCATGCTTCAGGGGAAGATTAAAAAACCCCAAAAATTTTTTAGGCAGGAAAAGTAAGATGCACTACTTAAAAATCTGTCTCTAATTCACATTGGATTTGCATTATCATGTTTTGCCCTTTTGCAGGTGCAATTTATAATTTACCTGCCAAAAAGTAAAATGAAAAAACTATATTTTTGCATTTTAAACCCCCCCGGGGGGTTTTCCTGGGGGAAAAGTTCCGGGGGTCAAAGGGCCCCCCTGCAACCCCCGGAAATTAAAATTTAAAAAAAATTTTCAAAAGCCTTGTAAAAGAGATTTCCCAAACAATTAATATGCTGTTAAAGTACTAATACCTTGGGAATTTTTCCCCCAATAATATTTGTTTTACATCACAGCCAAATTTCTTTAGCTAGAGATTTAGGGGAGGGAGAAGCAAATCAATGTAATTTTTTGTAAAACAAAAATAAAGTGCCAAAAATACCAGGGTTTATGCCAGCGGGTTTTAGGGGGGGGGAGTAAGTGAGAGGGCTAAATGAAGTACAAGCAAAGGTTGTGCAATAAAAACAGTTGCTGGGCAAAGAGGGGGTTTTGTGTCAAAGGTTGGGGGGGCCCTTGGGGAGGAGGGAAGATTTAAAAAAGGGGTGTCAGAAACAAATGACGATGTTTGGGGGGTAAATTCCCGCTTGCTCGTTTTATAGGGAGAAAAAAACCAAAGAATATGGCAAACTGAAACTGGGAAATTTACAATTCCGCAGATTTGGGAAATGGGGTTTCCCCTCCGTAAAAATTTCCCCTGAGTAAGACGTGTTTCAACCCCAAAGCGAAGACGGGCTGTGTAGGGGTTTTCCCAGCCACAATACTGATAAGAAGGCGCCAGGACCCTTTAAAAAAAGCTTGACAGAATTAATTTGTTTGAAATTTAACTCTGGAAACCCAAAGGTTTTTGCCAATAGTTGCAAAGGTGGCTAAAGATTACAGCAAATTGTCTGAGAATGGAATAAAATTACCTTTTATAGGAAAAATGGAAAGGGCTGTAAACCCCTGCTGCAAAAGCAAGTCTGCCTGCTCATTGCCCGAACATAAAAAATGACCAGAGGGCCAGCAGAAAAAAAATTTCTTTTTTTTTTGCTAAAAAATGCGGCAAAAACCAAAATTTTATACAGAGAACCCAAGGGAGAGGGAAATTTTAAAATTTTTTTATAGCCCTTTCAAAACCCGTTTAGGAGTGGGGGACTATCACAAATATTTTATTTTTGGGCCGGATGCAATACGAAAAATCAAATGAGAAAATGCACAAAGTTCGGCTGTTTAAAAAAAGCTTTGTCGAGTCTAATAAATGACCGTTAAACTTGGGCCAGGAAAAACTGCTTTTTAAACCCCAAAACTGGGCAGAGGATTTAGAAAACCCTCAGTGTAAACTGCAAAAGGGACGAAAAAGGAGACTAAGTGGGTTAAAAAAAAGGGAGCAAGAAGGAAAAAATAGGGGATTTGGGGGTTTCGCACACAACATGGGGGGAAAAATAGGGCAAAAAAAATTGGTTTAGATCCTTCAGGGAAAAAGAGAAAATTTTGATTTTTTGAAGTAGTCCGTGGGTTTTTGAAGGGGCTCTGGGGGGGACCTAATTTGACCAAATTTTATGGTCACACCTTGCCTTGGCAGGCCCTCTTTAAACCCCCGCCCACGTCTGAGGTTTTTGTTCTTTCGCCTAGACCTAGGCGTCAGGTGTACACGTGGTACAAAACAAAAATTGGGAGGGGGGGTTTCTTTGACTTTTCGATATAAGCCCCGGGGAAAAAAGCGGGGCAAGGAGGTTGTTGGTGACAGGTCCCTCAGGAGAGCTCTGGACAGCCGCGTGTTTTAGTTTGACCAAACCCTTGGGAACCTCGGGGGCCCGGGGTGGTTTGGTGAAGTAAGAGTGAGTACTAGTCCGTGTTTATGATAACATCTACCCTTCCCCCCGGGAATAAGTCTCATAGGTTTAAATTTTTATATTGTGTAAAATTTTCCCCAGGAGATGTTGTTATTCTAGCCCTTTTATGTTTTTTTAAGTAAACTATAGCCATAGTTTTTCCCCTTTTTATTTTTACCCTTTATATGCTATTCCCTAGCTTTTAAGCAATGGGAAAATACAGGGGGCGTGCTCACTTTTGCTGGGATAAACCCCCGGTAGAGGGGGGTAGAGACCCCCACAAGATGCAGATGAACATATAAAGGAGGCAAATTTAAGAGAAGACGAGCAAAATGAAGAAGGGGGGAAAAAGGGGGCAAAAGTAAACAGGGGTGGTGGGAAAAAATAAAAAGGGGCCTCCCACTAAAGTCCGGTTTTTTATCCTGTGTGTAGAAGGATCTTTAAAAATCGTGAAAGTGGACAAAAAAAAAAGGCCCTGGGCCCCTCACGGTGATCATTCCCAAAGGGTGGAATATTCTTTTCTGTAAATGGGTTCTCAAAAAGATGAGGAGCGAAAAAAACCCCCAGACATAAACGTAATCCTGATGATGGGTGGGATCAAGTTTTAGAAAATTTTGGGAGAGGGTGCAGAATATATCTGGTCACCCCCCAGTTTTAGTTTTTTTATAAAATTAGTGCTGAATGCGTCGAAGACCCAAATTCAACATTCTGCCCCCATGGAGAAAGTGCAGTAACTTTTTATATTATTTATACTTCAGTTTTATCAAGATACTGAAGTGACATTTGCTCACCCTTGCAAATTTTTCATGACATGCCACTGACAGCAACCACAAATAGAGAAACTTATTGATATTGTATACATAGGATCTCTCCATGAGGAAGTGGAACAGAATTCTTCCCCCTTAAGCTATGCGTGTTGTAAGAGGCGACTAAAATGCTGGAAGAAATGGGCTAGTAACCCCTTCTCCAGTGTATATTACTAAATTTAAAAAGGGAAACTTTTGTTTTTCTTTTTAGGCCAACTTGCCTCAGTGGGATACGGCCAGTTTGTTGAAAGAAGAAGATACACAATCTCCCTATGCGAGTGATGAATATCTTAATATACATGCGGCTAATGTACTCCAGTCAGTACATTTGCTTCAAACAATTTTTAGCTGTAATGAAAAAATAATTTGTTTACAAACAGCATTTACAATGTTATTGCTCTAAAGATATCAATGGACTGGACATCCATGATCTTTGTGTGTTGGTGTTGCTGCTATATACTGCACTATATTTTAAATAATCTCTTGATATAAAGGTATAAAGCAACAACACACCTTAGTGTGTTGTTGCTTTATACCTTCAATATACTTTTACCTTCATATGTTAATGTTGCTATATTCATTACAGTATGTGAAATAGTAATAGAATCCTCAAGTGTCTTGCAAAGGTGGAATCATCCAGAAAATCAAGGGGTTTCCTAATACCCTAAAATTGAACTAAAGCCAACATGAATGATATATTTTTCAAGCTTGTCATCTTCAAATTACCAAAACCTTTCAGAATTCTCTTCCCCAAAACACCATGCTTATTTTTTTCAAACTTACACACAAATAAATCCAGCAACATTGGATGTAAGCAGGTCCTTGGGTTCAGTAGCCAGACTGACAGCAAGCATATGATGCTTCAGCTTCACACCTGGAAATCATAAAAGATTAAACTCATGTCAGCACACTGTACTAATCATTATATTGCACAGTATAATGTACAAGTGGTTGTACCTGTTAGCTTCACTACATTATTAGTTTTTTGTGTGTTCTTAAAAATAATACAATGGAAATTCTAATGACAGAGACACAAGTATTCTCTACTGTACGTATAGTCACCTGGTTCAACTGGTACAAGTTTAGTCATGTGGTCATCCACTTTCATATCTGCTGGCATGCAAGAATCTGGCAGTGCTGGAGCACCAATCTTGTATATTGTAAGGTGACTCATCTTGACTTCAAAACTATGTGGGTGATACTTGGTATGAAGTCCATAATAATACTCCCGGATACGATCATCTCTGGCAGAAATTCTCATGGGTGGGGTCCTTTCAACAACCTGACAAAGAAGGATATTTAGAGTTTTTTTTTTTTTTTTTTTTAGCTCTCCTCACACACCCTGTTCATAAGCTGAGGCAAGGTGTTCTAAATCTTTCAACAGCACAATAAAGGGTGTGGACCTAAAATGAGAGCCCAGTCTACATAAAGCATTCACAGACGTAAGCTCAAGGAGGCAAGCTAGCTCAATCCATGTGTATGAGCTCATACTTATTTTATATTTATTTATTTATTTATTTAGTAATTTTAGCATACATACAGAGGTACAAAAAAAATACAGGTAAGAGCAGCATGCCAAAGCCACTTATATGCATAGCATTATGGGCTGGCTTAAAATTAACTTAAGATTAACTAAGCAATGATGAAATCAGTGATAAAACATTATTGTAAACAGATAACTATAAAGCACAAATGAGTATTACAAAGACAGGTCATATGGTTGCATGCATTGCTGTACATTTATCGAATGGAGTATTCTGTTAGGTAGTTGTATTTAAAAAATAACAAAGTTAGATTGGGTCCTAGGTTTAACATTTGTGTGATATTAATTGTGAGTAACATTTAGGATATACAATTTATAAGGTTCAGTTATTCAGTATTTATTTGGTTTTGAGTGAGTAAGTGATCTTTGAGAAGAGACTTGAATTTATAAACAGGTAGTGTTTCTTTTATATTTACAGGTAATGAATTCCAGATTTTAGGGCCTTTTATGTGCATTGAGTTTTTGCATAGCGTGAGATGGACACGAGGAACATCAAAGAGTGATCTGTGCCTTGTGTTATGGTCATGTGTTCTGTTGAGGTTGGCAAGGAGATGTTTAAGGGGAGGGTTAATATCAGAGTTAAGTGTTCTATGTATGTAATAGGTGCAGTAATAAGTATGGATGTTTTGTATGGTGAGTAGGTTGAGTGTTTTGAATATTGGTGGAGTGTGCTGCCTGTAGTGAGAATTTGTTATCATTCTAACTGCAGCCTTTTGTTGGGTAATTAGTGGTCTGAGATGGTTAATTGTTGTTGAGCCCCATGACAAATTCCATAGGTGAGATAGGGGTAAATAAGAGAGTGATAAAGGGCCAGGAGGGCTGACTGTGGAACATAGTACCGTATCTTCGATAGTATGCCTACAGTCTTGGAAATTTTCTTAGAAATTTGTTGTATATGTGTATGAAATTTGAGTCTATTATCAAGGTGGATTCCTAAGAATTTTCCCTCTGTTAGCTTTGTGATAGATGATCGTTTATCGTTATGTTAAGAGGTACATCTGTAGCTCTGTTACCAAACTGAATGAAGTAGGTTTTGTCAATGTTTAGTGTAAGTTTGTTAGTCCTCATCCAGGTAGATATTTCCTGTAATGCAGTGTTTACAGTATTGGCTAGCGTGACTGGGCTCGGGTGAGAGAAGACGTATGTAGTGTCATCTGCAAATAGTGTGGGTTTGAGTAATTGCGAAGCATTTGGTAGGTCATTTATGTATAGGAGAAAGAGAAGAGGGCCAAGGACACTTCCTGTGGGACACCAACTGTAATTGGTTGAGCGGAAGAGCTTGCCCCATTTGCGTACACATATTGGCTTCTGTTGCTGAGGTATGACTTGAGGTAGTTGAGGGAGTGCCCTCTAATACCATAGTGTTGACAATTTTACTGGAGCAAGTCATGGTCAACTGTATCAAAAGCTTTACGTAAGTCAATGAAGATCCCCAGTGGGACTTCTTTTTTCTCTATTGCAGTGTATATATGTTCTAGCATGTGTATAATAGCATCATTAGTATTTTTATTAGGCCTGAATCCAAATTGGCAGGGGTTGAGAATGTTTTGGGAGATGAGGTAGGAGTAGATTCGTTTATGAATTAATTTTTCGAAGATTTTTGAGAGAGGGTGTAAATTGGATATTGGTCTATAGTTATTCAACTCTGTTTGGTCTCCTCCTTTATGGATCGGGGTGACCCTTGCTATTTTGAGAGCTGTAGGGAAGGTGGAGGATTCAATGGATTTGTTAAAGAGTGTTGCAATGATTGGTGATAGTACTCGTGACACTTTTTTGTATATAAAGGGTGGTAAGGTATTTAAATCTCCTGCCTTGTTTTTTAGTGCGTTGATAATAATGGAGACTTCGTATGGGTTAGTCGGAGTAGGAACATTTGTGTTCGGGTAGTTGCCAGTGAGGTAGTCATTTGGTGGGGTATCTGAGCTTGGGATTTTATTGGCAAGGTTTTGTCCTATAGTGGAGAAGAAATCATTGAGTCTGTTTGCTGTTTCTGTTGGTGGGAGTTGGGGTTCATCTGATTTTGCTAATTTTATTTCGCTATTTCGTGATATCTTTTTTGTTCCCAGAATTTCTGATAGGGTCTTCCAGGTCTTTTTTATATCACCTCGTAAGTTGGATAATCTGTTATCATAATACAATTTTTTTGCCCTTCTTATCAGGCTGGTTAGGATTGACGGTAACGTTTTGTTTGGTCTCTGGTTATGTGACCCATTCTGTACTGTTTTTCATATCGGTGTTTTGTATTTATGGATTTGAGAATGCTGGGTGTTAGCCAGGGACTGTTCAGTCTCTTAGCTGTCATCTGTTTAGTTTTTTTAGGGCAGTGCTTGTTATAGAGGTATTGGGTCTTTTTTAGAAAATTATTAAAACATTCGTCAATATCTGTATAGATTTCTAGCTCAGTGTGCCAGTCAATGTTTGTTACTGCTGTTGTGAAGTTATTAATGGCTGCCTCATTGTGAAGTCTGAAGGTGACTTTAGTAGTGTCTTGGGGTATTTTACCAAGAGTTGTTATGAGGAAAGTAGGGTAGTGGTCTGTGGTATTATCTGTAATTATGCCTGATTTAGTAAATATTGGCAAATTTCAGAATGTATCTATTTTGATTACTTTTAATCAAATGCATTGATGTTTGGTATTACAAAAACAATTATAAGTTCTATTCAACTAATTAATAAACAACAATTATATTTTTTTTTTTTTTTTTTTTTTTTTTTTTTTTTCAACAAGTCGGCGTCTCCCACGAGGCAGGATAGTCCTCATCCAAAACACCATCCATTCCCTTTAACTTTTTAAGAGAATGACTACTGTATGATTAAAAAAAAAAATAAGTAATGAAAAGAATACATTAACTAACCCCTCCACTCTTTGGTAGGAAGACAATCTTGATGAAAGGAATATCACGTACAAGTTCATTGTATAATCTCTCTTGGTCAAGAACAATGATGACATCAACTTCAAATGCCTGAGCAACGTGTGTCAAGCTCTTGTAGCCTTCATCTTTAACCCAGCCACAAGTGTTGATAATAACTCCAGAAGCTGCTACTACAAAAAACAAGAAAAAGGAATTAGCAATCATAATTACTATAAAAAACATAATCATGAATAATAAGCAGAGTATGGAAGAAACTTTAAGAATACAGTGGACCCCCGCATAACGATCACCTCCGAATGCGACCAATTATGTAAGTGTATTTATGTAAGTGCGTTTGTACATGTATGTTTGGGGGTCTGAAATGGACTAATCTACTTCACAATATTCCTTATGGGAACAAATTCGGTCAGTACTGGCTCCTGAACATACTTCTGGAGTGAAAAATATCGTTAACCGGGGGTCCACTGTACTTTTTCAAATGTGCACTTACAGGGTTTTTTCAGTGTCAACTATAGATGTCCCTCATTTTTACACTGTAAATGCATTCCAAGTCAATGGCAACTATACTATTCTTAATCAGGCCTTAAACTATTAATTTTGCATAAGAAGATTGAATGAATAATGGTGAATGTGTTATCTCTTTTTTGGATCAATCTACCTCAACGGGAGATGGCCGGTGCATTAAAAAAAAAAAAAAAACAGACTCTTCAGTGTGTCTTGAATACCATTTTGAATACATGTGGTAAATGTAAAAACAAAACAAATTAGCAAAAGAAATACAGGTGGAGATATTGCAGTTGGAGGGGCATCTGAACTGTAGTATTGGCAAGCCTCTGGCAAGACAGTGATAGAGTGAGCAATGATGAAAGTGTTTCTCTTATTTTGGGTCACCCTACCTTGGTGGGAGATGGCCAGTGTGAATTTGCAAAAAATGAGAGAACATGTATACATCTCAGGAATGGTATGCAAACACTTGGTGTGAAGCAAACCTTTATTATAGATATCTATAATTAAAGGATTGTTCTGCAATGAGTGCATTTACCATACCTGTCAACAGTATCTGCCATCCTTCACTCAGGAATCACTGTATCAGATTATCTGCTACACCACCAGATTTAGACCACCCACTGCTTTTAGCCCAGTCTTGCCTCCTTTCCCCAATCAATGTTCCTATTTATTCTCCTTAACCCTTTGAGTGGATGTCATATAGATTTGCATTATTGATGCCAGGGATCCCTCAAGTAGCTCTACATTTGGAGAACAGTTCCCTGTGATAAGCAGTGAGCAGTAAATTTTGGCCACCACATACGAGAATGGCTCTGCACGGCGAGTGTATACAGTATAAAAAAAAATAGCAACTTGGTGTCTTCTTGGTTTTTATGGCTTTACTGACTGATTCTTGATATCTTTTGATAGAATGGAAGATATACTACTAAATTTGTTAGTTTTCAGGACTAGAAGTAACTTAAAATTGGGATCTAAGTAAAAGAAATATTAAATTTTGCCATTTCCCTTGAAAAGAGATAGGTCTCTTACATCCCTCCCCCAGTCTGTTTTGTGGCTTTTTAATAGGTCCTGATTTAATTACAGCCTCTCCTCACTTAACGACCGAGTTCCATTCCTAAGACCACGTCGTTAAACAAATTCAATCACTAAGTGAGGATCATACTATAATGGTACCAAGTTTGTCTCAACCATCTTTGATATTGTTTCTGTCCCTTTGCACCATTTATAACATTTTCTGGTATATTTTTAAATGTTGATAGAATAGTGTGCTGTATATTGAAATAAACAGATAGAGGAAATCAGCTTTAATATACATTATTTAGGTACGAATACTGGTCAGAGAGCCCGTCATAAGTCCAAGGCGTCGGTAACAAGTACGTCGCTAAGTAAGGAGAGGCTATTGGGATGCTATAAACCATGACCAATCATTCCTGGTTATGTTTTATCTAACAGGGAAAATCCTCAACTTCTGTGATTATGAATTCAAAATTGATAGCAAGAATGTGGCTGAATCGAGCAATGAAACTGGCTTAAATAGGAATCAGAGTGAGAGAAAACACCAGGGCATAAATTGTGCCCAGATCACTAACTTGTGCTGCATAATTCCATAACTTTTCTTATCAAATTTTGCACTGTTGGCATCATTACCTTCAGAAAAAGATTCTCTATCATTTCAGAAGTTTTTTTAACCCTTTGACTGTCACAACCCCAATTCTGAAACTGTCTCAGTGTCGCAAAATATTCGGGAAAAAAAAAATTTTCTTACCAAAATGTTAAGATTAACTTGCTGATTGTTTTTAAGCCCCCCCCCCCCCCCCACCCCCAAAAAAAATTGCGTGTGGCAACAGCGGTGAATGCCACTCACCCGGTAAAATTATTTTTACTTTCATTCAAGGTTTCTTGTGTATTTTCCAATATTTTACTTTTTCAATTAACTTACGTGGCCTGTGAGACCAAATGGTGCAATGTACATATTACACTTGTTGTATGGAACACAATAACTGCACAAACATTATCATTATATTGTTTACAAACTTGTTTACACAAACCAACAATACAAAAAGTTGTTTATTACTATTGTTTATAATATATATAAAAATGTACAGTCACTGGACACTTTCCTAGAAGTGCTGCAGCTTGTAGAACTCTTTGAACATGGTGTTATACACAGTCCTGTTTTACACTCCAACACATAAAATGAGTGTCTCTGCATTTTGTTGGCAGGTTGTTGTGGTTGTGGAAGTTGTTGTGGTTGTGCAGGTTGCTGTGGTTGTGAAAGTGTTGTTGCTGTGGTTGTGAAAGTTGTTGCTGTGGTTGTGAAAGTTGTTGTTGCTGTGGTTGTGCAGGTTGTTGTGGTTGTGAAGGTTATTGTGGTGTGTGAGTGGTTGAAGCTGGCCTTTCTGTGCATGTGCTGAGTCATGTACCCAGGCTACCAGCCTGGTTACATAACATAGCATTATACCACCCCCTGCTACTGCATGTATATACCATCCCAATTGTAACATTACCCATACCTTCCTTCCTTACATCTTCTTTCCTTCCTTCCTTCCTCTCATCTCTTCCTTCCTTCCTCCCTTTATTTCTTTCTTAATTCCTTCCTTCCTTCCTTTCTTCCTTCCTTCCTCCCTTTCTTTCCTTCTTTCCTTTTTTCCCTTTCCCTTACTTTTCTTCCTTCCTTCCTTCCTTCTGGTATCCTGGGCATTGCTTTCGGTCACAAACTCCTCAAAACCATGAAATTCATCTTCACTGACCAGATTCGCCGGGGAAGTCAGATATTTCTTACCACTAGGCATGCTGAACAAGGACTACTGAAATGGCATTCCCAAAATTTGCACCACTGACTCCCTGACTTTTTTTATACTGCACACACTGACCATGGAGACCCATTCTCTCACATGTGGGCTACCAGCTTTCTCCCGCTTGATTTGAAGCGCTAGTATTTTGGCGTATTAATACGTAAAAAAACGTTGGCTCATAAGACGTATGTATACGGTCAAAACAGTCAAAGGGTTAAATGTGGACACAGAACAATATTAATTTCAGGGGTCTGGACATAGAAAGGGTTAAGATTAACACCTGCTCAATGTCTGAGTTATGTGGACACTACCACCAAAATACTAGGTGGAACAGAAGCACGGCCTTTGACAGTATTTCCATCATGTGTTAAAGTAGGTCAAACTTAAGCTATTTCCCATGAAAGGATATAACAAAAATGGTATATTGCAAGTTCACTGTTGACAGGGAGGGGTGTATAGGCTATCCTAGGAAATATATCCACAATAGCATACTCTTATTTAGTTCCTGAAAACTGGGTTATAATGAAAATAAGCTGGGTCAGGGTGTCCCAAGGTTATCAGAATTGAGGGTATCCATCTATATTTTTTTCACAACAATTTTCTACCAAAAAATATACAATGTTCACAACATATGTTACCTTTTCTATTGCCAACCATTTTGTCTTGAACTGTGGCTGCCATTCTAGACACCAGGATGTTGTAAAATGTCAAATTGGCTAGTGGGACTAAGTGTCCAAAGTTGTAGACCCAAAGGGGGCCTCCTGAGAGAAGCCTTCACCTACTGAGGCAGCACGCTCAACCAGTATAGCCCCTAAAAAGATAAAAATTATAGTTTATATTTAATTTATATTTCAATCTCAATGTTCAGGTGATAAGCCTCCATACATCCAGCTTGGCCTAGAAGGGCCACAGCAATTCTCTCCACACACACTTCCATGTCAACCAGCAACATGAATTAAAATGTAATTTATAGATTTCCATGTACTACTATGTACTGTATTACAATATTTTAAAAAATTATGCATTTGGCATTTTTAGCAGTGTCTGGAATGCAACCTTATTCTCCATGTCTTATTCACTTTACAGAACATTGTTTTACATACGATGAAGGTTTTCACGAATACATCCATAGTATTATGAGCGTTTGTTGTACGTACTTAACTAATGCAGTAATACTGTACAGCCTCTCCTCACATAAACAATGGAGTTCCTTCCTTATACCACGTCAGTAAACAATTTCATCGCTAAAGAGGAGCACTACGTATAATGGTAGTGGGTTTACGTCAACCAATTTTTGAAAATGCTTTAATTGTCACCCTTGCACCATTTATATACATTTTTTATATATTTTTAAATATTTTACAGTAGTGTACTGTATTACACCCTCTCCTCACTAGCAAAGTACTCGTTTACCGATGCCTTGGACTTACGACGGGCTCTCTGACCAGTATTCACACCTAAATAATGTATATTAGAGCTGATTTCCTCTATTCTGTTTATTTCAATATACATGTACTACAGTACACTACTGTATTAAACATTTAAAAATATACCCGAAATGTTATAAATGGTGCAAAGGTTGACATTAAAACAATATGAAAGATGGTTTGACACAAACTACTTCCTTTTTAGTATGTTCCTCACTTGGCGATGAATTTCTTTAACCCGTAAACGGTCCAAACGTATTACACGTTTTTTCAACATTGAAAGTATGTAAAAAAAGTAGATCTTCTTTTTGTTTTTCTACATTTGAAATATTTTAAAAAACTTGATCTGCTTTTGTAGCACTACACATCTGCTTGGACCGTTTACGGGTTAACAACGTGGTCTCAGGAACAGAACTCCTTTGTTAAGTGAGGAGAGGCTGTATTGTAATAACAGAACAGAAGAAATCAGCTCTAATATACAATATTTAAGTATGCATTTCTGGTCAGAGAGCCCGCGTAAGTCCGAGTCGTTGGTAAACGAGTACGTTGCTAAATGAGGAGAGGCTGAATGTGTAGAACAAACTCATATCAAGTGACCTCTGATTACACCTTTGGAAAAACCCATTATATTTTACCGTATAACTTACCTATAGTGCCTGGAATAGCAATAGATCCTTGACCAACATCCAAATCCACGAAGATGGGTCTGCGTCCCATACGCACAGCATAGTTTAGAAGAATTCGGCACAGGGTTGTTTTTCCCTACATCTCCAGGTCCCAACAATCATTGTAACTGGCCCTCTAGTGTCTTCTCCACGATTCAATCCTTCATCAGCATGTTTTCGTAATCGTTCTAAACACGCATGCGTATTTAAATACATAACCTGCCATATAAAAGCATGACAAAAATTTTTAAAACATACTGATGCTTATCTATTACAGTGTATCATTTCTTCAATAGATATTATATCACTAGATTGTACAGTACTTTGATACAGAAAATGCAGTACAATACTAACCATTGGAGTTTCTTTTGCAATGTATGTACCTTCTGTATTTCCTGTGAGCTTGAGAGTACAACCATGCCAGGTATACACAGCAGCCTTGGCACCGGAGAAGAAAGTATAAGGCTTGTCTGGTGCCAGCTCTGTTCCAAACACTTCTGCTTTTCCACTTAATAACTGTTAATGTCAAAAAAAAAAAAAAAAAAAAAAAATCAGCGGATGCCTGCAGTACCAGCACTTGGAAATTACCTATTAAATGATAACAAGCCATACTTGGTTGAACATCAAGTGTAATTTTTTTTTACATACCATTATTTGAATAATTAATACAGCATTATTTATAAACATTATGGTTAAGAGAGAAAACAAGAAAAAATATATGTCTACACTCATTTACGTAGGTGCCATATTGAGTTTTTCATTTACTGTAAAGCACAATTTTAAAATTAACTAAATAAATTTTTGGATAATGTTTTACAAATATAAAGTCCTACGTGTGTGTGCCTTTGGCAAAAAATATAATAGTTTTGTGTCTATCCAAATTGTGTCTTACTATACCATGCCCATTTTGATTTTCAAAAACGGTATAGATAAGTTTATGTAATGCACTGCTCCTCAGCACTCATTGTTTTGTTAATTCTGTGCTCAATTTGTGTTTTCTGCCACCCATTCTTTGAATACAGTATCAAAAATCTTTCTGTAAAACAAAATGTAATAATCCTACTAAAATCTTACCTTCAAGTCAACAGTCTCTTTTTTTCCTTCAACTTCAAAACGAAGTTCACAGTCTGTTCTAACTTGAATTCTTTTTCAGTCATTTTGCCTTGAATCGTCATCAACACTACTGACAACTGCAGGAAAAAACAAAAAGTTGTGTGTCTAAAAATATGTTTGAACATTTCCTTACAAAACTTTATCACTAATGACACCATCTGTACTCATAAACAGTTACCCAAGGTTCACTATCAAAGTTAACTTAAAGTTAAATTAGACCAATCATTGTATTTGATAACCTTATGTTCAAACAGCTTTGTTATGTTAATCTTAGCATTCACATCATATCCCTTTAGTTAAACAATGTGAAGTACAATAATTTTAGGTTGGTTGTAGTCACATAATTTTTTTTAAGTAGTTTTAGCATTAGTCTGCCAGAACTGCTTTGCATAACTATGGACTATTTCATGTGAAAAACTACTAATGTTAAACCTCTGTAACACAAATGTATCTCCTTGGAAAATAAAAGTTTTAGTTGTTATATTTATTTATTACTGTATGACTTTGTTCCACTGGTATACTAGTTTTCCTCAAGAAGGGGAAGGTGGTAGTGGTAGGGGAGGGTGGTAGTGATGGTGGTAAAGGATGGTAGTGATGGTGGTAAAGGATGGTAGTGATGGTGGTAGAGGGTGGTACTGATGGTGGTAGAGGGTGGTAGTGATGGTGGTAGAGGGTAGTGGTGATAGTGGTAGAGATAACCCCCCCTCCCTTCCCCTCCTCACCATCTTCCATATGCCAACAAGAATCTTCAATAAATGTAACAGTGATTTAAATGATGGCATCTGGAAGATAGTGAGGAGTGAGAGAGCACTTTAGGTAACAAGTCTTCATCTGGGGTTACTTCCCTTCTTTAAGATTTCCCTAAAATGGGACATGGTTCTGTCACTGAACTTGTTGCAGAGATGTCTTGTTTCAGCTTGCTCAAGGTGATATTTTTCAGCAAATGCCTGCACCCTATTCCACACTGCACAAATCTCCTTAATCTCTGAAGAAGGCAATATCCACCATCCACCACCATCCACAGCCATCCACCAATACTATCCACCACCACCATCCCCAATCACCACCATGGTAGTTTATTTCACAGTCACACTTAATAAACATGCACCAAACACAATGAATTAATTGTGAAATGTTTAAATGAGCACGCAGGTTAGTGTTCACTCAAGCATAAACAAAGCCAGACTGGCTCACGACACCTCCACGAGGAAGCGGGACAGAGTGAGCAGGTGGACAGGTCCGGTACCCGATGGTTCGAAAGACAGGGCACGTTTGATAGGACAAAACTGGTTAAAAAAAAAGCAGTCGAAACTCAAATCGTTCGATAGTCGATACGTTTGAAACTCGGGGTTCCATTGTATATAATGTGTGGGTGGGTTGGCAAGATGGGGTTACGATACCTAAAACACTATTCGATACCTACCTACCCTACTAGTCACCTTGCACCCTATATTAAGACCATTAAGACTACAAATATTTTAAGGTAAGTAATGAGTGTACACTATATGCATTTTATCGCTCTAGGGCTCTTTAAATCGAAGTATATTACGTGTGGGTGGGGTGGGTTGGGGTGGCCTGGCTGGCTACCAGTCCTCCACACCTAACGTCTTAAAATAAACACTACTCACTGCTCACTCTACACTGGGACTACAAACCTAACCTGCTGTATAAGTGGGACCCTACTGTATATTAGAGCTGATTTCCTCTATTCTGTTTATTACAATACATATATAATAAACTACTGGAGTATACCTGGAAAAGGTTTTGGGGTTCAATGCCCTGCAGCCCGGTCTGTGACCAGGCCTCATGGTGGATCAGGACCTGATCATCCAGGCTGTTACTGCCGGCCACACCCAACCTGATGTATGAACCACAGCCCAGCTGGTCAGGTAATGACTAAGTACCTGTCCAGTGTCTTCTTGAAGACAGTCAGGGGTCTACTGGTAATCTCCCTTATGTATGCTGGGAGGCAGGTGAATACTCTTGGGCCCCTGACACTTACTGTGTTGTCTCTTATCATACTAGTGGCACCCCTGCTTTTCATTGGGGAGATGTTGCATTGTCTGCCGAGTCTTTTGCTTTCATAAGGAGTGATTTTCGTGTGCAAGTTTGGTACCAATCCCTCTAGGATTTTCCCAAGTGTATATGATCGTGTATCTCTCCCGCCTGTGTTCTAGGGAGTACATGTTGAGGAATTTTGTGTGCTCCCAGTAACTGAGGTATTTTACAGCAGTCATGTGTGTTGTGAAGTTCTCTGTACACTTTCTAGGTCAGCAATTGCACCTGCTTTTAAAGGTGCTGTTAGTGTGCAGCAATATTCAAGCCTAGATAGAACAGGTGACCTGAAGAGTGTCATCATGGGCTTGGCATCCCTAGTTTTGAAGGTTCTCATTATCCATCCTGTCATTTTTCAAGTAGATATGACTGATGCAATGTTATGGTCTTTGAAGGTGAGATCCTCTGACATGATCACTCCCAGATCTTTTACGTTAGTTTTTTGTCCTATTGTGAAGTTGGAATTTGTTTTATACTGGAACAGAGCTTTTCACTGAAGCCACCTCAGACTTTACTCTGTTTACTACTACTCTTTGTGTTCTATTTGTTAGGAATAAACAGATCCACCTACCAACATATCCTGTTATTCCTTTATCACACATTTTGTGCGCTATTACACCATGGTCACACCTGGCAAAGGCTTTTGCAAGCTGTGTATACTACATCTGTGTTTTGTTCATCTTCTAGAGCATGCAGGACCTTGTCATAGTGGTCCAGTAGTTAGGACAGACAGGAGCAACCTGCTTTTAAACCCATGTTGCCCTGGGTTGTGAAAAACTGATGGGAATCGAGATGGGTGGCGACCTTGCTTCTTAAAACCCTTTAAAAGATTTTTATGATATGGGACATTAGTGCTATCGGTCTGTAGTTCTTTGTTTATTGCTGTACTGCCCCTCTGTGGAGTGGGGCTATGTCTGTTGTTTTTAGCAGCTGTGGGATGCCCCCTGTGTTCATGCTCCCTCTCCATAGGATGTTAAAAGCACATGACAGGGGCTTCTTGCAGTTCTTAAATGAACGGAGTTCTGTGATTTTGGGCCTGGGGCAGAGTGCATGGGCATGTCTTTTTTCACCTTTTCAAAGTCATTTGGTGTCTTGGTAATATCAGATAGGTTTGAGTCTGAAAAATTCTGTGTCTCACTCATAAAAAATTCATTTAGATCTTCAACTCTCAGTCTGGTTAGCGGCTCGCTAAAAACCGAGTCATACTGGGACTTGAGTAGCTCACTCATTTCCTTGCTGTTATCTGTGTAGAACCCATCTCGTTTAACCCTTTTGGGACTGTTTCGGTCATATATACACGTCTTACGAGCCACCGTGTTTGACATATACGTATACATATACTCAAAAATTCTGCAGCTTCAATCAAGCAGGAGAAAGCTAGTGGCTCACATGTGAGAGAATGGGTCTGTGTGGTCAGTGTGTCCATATAAATAAATCCTGCAGAAACGCAGTGCATGAAAAAAAAAAAAAACTCTGACGCGTTTTTGGATTAAAACACTGACTTTGCCGTGTATTTTCGTATAGTATTTATGGTTGTATTCTTGTTTTCTTGGTCTCATTTGATAGAATGGAAACATATTATGAAACAGAGGTGATTTTGATTGGTTTTACTATGAAAAGAACCTTGAAATGGAACTCAAAGTAGGGGAAATGTTTGATTTTTGCCGATGTTCAAAAGTAACAAATGACGTCATTGTCCAATAAATATCCAACTAGCCATTCTAATATGCAGTCATGAATGGGTTGACATTATTTAAAAATTATTAGAATATTGCAGTAGTCTGCATAACAGTAAATCTTCATTTTTTGTTTGAATAAAAATTCAAACAGAAAGCAAGAGAAATATCAGGGGGGCCCTAGAAGCATGACTGTTTGAACAAAGAAAAGGGAAATTTTAGAGCCGGTAATGTCTGCATTGTTCATTCTGGGCCCTATTTTTGAAACTGGCTATTTTTTAATTTGCTGAAATTGGCCAAATTGCAAATTTCTGACCCGTTTTTGGGTATTGAAATCAGTAAATGGGCAGTTTCTTGTATACTCAATCGATAGAACAAAGGGGAATTCTAAAGAAATAGCTATGAGTTTGGTCGACTGGAACAATGGAATTAGCCGAAAATAGGGCTCAAAGTGGGGAAGTCGCTGATTCATAAATATTGCCGAGGTCACAAACCCTCGTGAGAGCAAAATTTCCCCGTAAGTTTTCCATCAAATTTCGTTTTTTTGGTGTATTCCATCGGGAAAAGATTCTCTATCATTTCATAAGAAAAAATATTTTTTTTTTTTTTTCAAAAATTTTTTGACACCAGGTGACCCCTCAGGGTTAAGTAGGAGCCCAATACTGGATGTTACTGTCGACTTTAATTTGGTATAAGAAAAGAAATATTTTGGGTTTCTTTCACTTTCATTTATGGCTTTCATTTCTTCCAGCATTTCTTGACTCCTGTAAGATTCCTTTGCTTTAGTTTGATGTTTGCTATTTCTCTGACCAGTGTGTCAGTATAGCTACTGAATCCCCTTATATGTATACTTGTGTAGTATATTGTGGATCGTATCATCCATGTATATATCTAGGCTTCCTGGTCAGTAGGTCAGTGACTAGCATGTGTGACGTCACGTTTGGGGCTGTTGTGACCCTTTGCGCCTGGGATCCTTCTCAGTTCCCGTCAGACCTACCAAGCAGCTCAGGCAGGTTGGGCCTCCCTCTTCACACTCTGCCAATATATGTGTTACCATCCAACAAGTGTGCTTAACTCCAACCCTCATATCTCCTCGAAACCCCCCCTACAAATGGTGCAGCGGAGGGCCTGTAATTCTGTCGATTACAGCGATTTCTGGAGATAAAATTTTCTGAAGCCAATCGCCATTTTGTGACACTTAGGCCTCCCAAGACGGGTGATGCTCAACATCCCAAGCCAGCTACCCCAAGCAAGCGTTCACCAGCCTATTGCTTCCTACTTACTGATCAGTCTCTGTGTATTAGCGTTTTATT